TTCAAAAAGGAATACGTTCCTGAGAAATAATTTTCATATCGCAATACAAATGTGATGTCAATCACCATAAGTTCAAAAACCTAATCTTTCTCCTTCACAGCAATAAAAATTTTTATCTCCATCAAAATCATAAATTAATCTACGAAATGAAGCTCACTCACCTTCAGCGCAACGATAACGGAGATTGACAAATTGCTATAATATAATCTGATAATATTCCGGTGTTTGATAGACAAATGGATAGGATAACATCAGTTACGAGCACATTCATACAACTGATCAATCAAGCAGTTTGTTGAGCCTCTTGTTCCTTCTCTCGTTCTTCGTGTTCCTTTATTAACTGCGATACTTCGGTGCTATTCAACTCCTCCACTACAGTCTTGTCGTTACGTCGCGTTAACACAGCCATTTCCACTGAAATATTTATCGAATCGAGATTTTATCGATTTGAAGATTTGTAGGATAAAACACAATGACTGGTAGTCTTCAAATAAACTATAGAAGAAGAGCAGCAAACAATAGAAGAGCAACGAAAATCGAGCAACCGACATTATCACACTAATACATTATATCGAATAGCGGAATAAATAAACTCGATTTAAAATTTCAAAGATACCGGAAAAGAAACTTCAATTCATATGAACAAACCATGAGATGAATGCATCTTTTGGTGTGAGCACTATTTCAGGAATGCATCACTGATAAATTTTTCCATTAATTGATTTACGACAAAAATCACTTTTACAACAAAAAGCAAACGTACTCTTTTCTGCCGATAGTTTCACATCCAACGTTTTTGATAACACTTTCATCGCAAGTTTCTTCGCTTCAGCAAGATTCGGTGACTTATATTCTTGTTTTAACAACGAAACAGCCGCCTAAGTTATCATTCGTTTAAGCATGTTATACTGAACAATATCCAGAAGCGATCAGAATTTCAACTGTGGCTTGGGAGCTCCCAATTTCAGCTCCAAACAACAGAAAGTTGAAGTGAGCTTTCAGTAGAGCATCAAGCCTCAATGGCCATTATTTCGAAAATCCACACTTCAGTTCCATTATTACCATAAATAAAAAAATCGTACTTATTCGAAATCACGGTGTTCAGGAACACAACACGTCACAATTTTGCTTTTTGATGCTACGACTGCCCAGGATCAATTCAAATTCATATATTTAAAGTCTACAGCAAACAATTACAAAAGCAACTCGAATTGTTGCTTCAATTACCTGATGATTATTGCCAATACATGTTGCTTTCCATCCAGTGTAATTTCCACTTGGGTCAGACTGGTAAAGCTGATAACCGAAATGTTGATCCCAACCCATATATAAGAGAGAAACACCAAAGGGTCGTTTTCCTGAAAAACGGCTTATGTTGAGACATTAACGAATCTGAACCGGAGAAGATTATTTGAAGTCTTTCATTCATGCTTTCAGTAATTCTCACATTCAAACAATTCATTATTATCCATCACCAATAATTATTAGCCAAATTCAATAATCCATCATGAACAATTCAAATAATCCATTCAAATAATAAAATAATTATCAGCCAACTGGTATTATCAGAATTTTACCTTAGAAATAAATGAACAAACAAACATATAAAAACTAAGAACTCTAACCTCCAACTTGTGTGTAACGCTGTTTTTCATTACATAGTGTTTGTACTAACTGCTCAACCGGAATATGCTCACCATAACTGAGTTTATATTCAGCGGCCCAATAGCGCAGATGATTTATCAGAATATTTGCATCTGCTGTTATACCGGCTACTGTACAGGCTATATTGTCGGATAGACGATAAATTTTCTCAGCAAGAACCTGAAAAATTCATTCGATCATAAAACGTTCAGACAGATTTTATTCTTTAGCGAGAGTTTTGGAGTGCAACATTCATTCCGTTTGAATTTTGTACGTATAAGAATAGGACACTTCAAGCTGACAAAACATCGTTAAATTACTTGAAAGACAGACGATACCAAATCTACGACATCAAATGAATAATGGAATCAATACAGAACGTATTTGTTGGAATATGCGGCATTCTAGCAAAAAACTTGTGGAGGAAAATTTTTCTGTGATGAGTACAAGAAATATTTTCAAAACAAGAGAAGAACCTCATCGTCGAGCAGTTTATGAACGTTCCTTTTCTCGGCTGCAATGAGGATACCGTCTGAAGCGAGAATACCAAGGCATGTTCCGGCATGAGATATTGCCTCCATTGCATATTCTACTTGATACAAACGTCCTTCCGGTGAAAATATCGTTGTTCTCGTATCATAACGTCTTGCCTATAAAATTATACTGACATTACTTTGCTTCAAAAGCTACGCAATCAGACGTATTAAACAGGTCGACTTTTGAACTCAAATCAAGCAAATCAGAACTGATTTGGATAGTGTCACACCGCTTCCTTATAAGGGTCTCACAAACGCTCAGATAATTTTGCTGTTTTATTTACTCTATGTGATTTCAGGCATGAAAAGCCTTCAGAACAATTTGAACACTGTGCAACGACCTATTATCAAACGTCGGTCATTAGACACGATGTTAGCGAAATACGTTACAAATCTGCTATAACGCCTCACACATCGGCATAAAGCAAACATGCAAATTATGTGGATATGCATGGCGCACCTTCAAATAAACAATCGAACTGCTTCATAAAATCCAACTACTATGATGACTATAAATGGAAGCTATTCAGAACCACTCCAACAGTTCAAAATTTCACAACGTCAAAATCTGATCCAGTGCATAATTTTAGACAAAAGAAGGAAAGGGAACTAACCATTTTTATTTATACTCGTGCGTTTCAGATGAATTTTCCCCAAAAAGCAACACTGAAATCGAGATCATTTCATGAAAGTATATGACAAAAAAAAA